CTCGATTCCCGACATGGGTACAATGTGTGAAGCCCATTTCTGGTGTCCCCCACCGTGATATTTGCTGGAATATTGCTAAAAGCAGCTTAAAACCATACTCACTCTCACTCACTCAATCACCCTTCTGTATTTGCTTAGGAGATAAACCCTACTGTTCTTTCAAATTTGAGGTTGTCTAAACGTTGATTAGTTACTTCGTATTTTAATTTGGAACCAAGCACTTTAGTAGGTATAAATAAGAGGTATCTTTGTCTTTACACATACAGAATAACTAATTTATTATTAATATTGATATATTGTGATACTTTTGAGTTGATATACATGATATATGGATGCTAAAATTTCCAATTAATGACACCTCATGTGATATAACAGAAATACTGTTCAACAGGTGCACTGCATCCTTAAAGTCAAGTCTACGTACCTCCCCCACATAATAAGTTACAATGCATTAAGGACATTTTATCAATTTAAACTGTAAAACTAGAAACAGGCTCTCATCAACAACCATCAGTCCGTGTGCACCAAGACCCTCACTACACATTGCGAGTTTGCAGGCTGTATGACCATAACGACACAGCTTGTGGCTCTATCACGATGGGACTACACCCACGCACTATTGCTGCATAAATATGGATTAAGTAACCAGTGAGACTGTTGGCATTATTCCTGATCACTTAATCTAGTTAATAGAGACACACTACAAGCTACTGTTTCACTGCTCGGCACAGGGGAAGATGAATGTTTTAGATACAGACCAGACTTAAAGCTATTGGACTTTCACTATTTCTTGAATACTCCATGCCAGGACTGGCTTCATGTTACAGACATTCTTACCAGACAGGTCACTTCAAACCTGGAAAATTAATGGTTTTGTTTACACACTTCATGTACATTAGGGCAAATATTATTTCCATAAATTTTGCAAATTGCATGAGCAGCTTCCGAAACAAACTGTAAATGTTTAACAAACATATTTCTCAGCGATAGGCGGCTCATGAACACTTTCATTAAAATAAAACATTATCAAGATACGTAAATAAAATAACAAGACTAGTCTGATCCAACTGACGAAAAGTACAGTGGTGCTTGTGACACCTTTTTAACCATTTCTCAGGAAAGCTGAAACCATCTGATCGTCTGTCTGAAAAACTTCCTGTTGTGCGAGTGTTGGAAAACACCATGTACATGTAAAACTCCATTGAAATACTGAATACACAAGATCATGACGTGGTGATCGCCATTTTTGTCGCTGTGTGTGTCGCCCTGTGAGGTGTTGCTCACTCATAGGTCAGCCTACTTAGAGAGTTCTGTTTTTCAACTGCAACAAACAATTTTTGTTTACCTACAACGTTTTTCCCTGGGTATCAAGCATTTCTAGTGAACATGTGTTGTTGTAACACAAGATGCAAAATTACTTTCTAGAATAAATAATTTTTCAAAAATAAAATTCCAAGCCCATCCCAGAATTTGAAATGGTGAGTACCTTGTTATATTCAAATGCGCCAGGCACACCTCTTGAGTGAGATTCAATACCCATTGTAGTGACTCCAACTGGGCAACTTTCAATGAGGCAGTTCATGGGAGCAGGAGCAGAACATATTTTAATGACAAAATGTGCAAGTGCAAAATCCACATGGCTTTTGTCAAATAATGTTTAAATAATGACCGAGTGTGTGATTGAGTGAGGTTTTACTTCGCTTTAGGCATTATTCCAGAAGTATCATTGCGGAGTACACCAGAAATTGGCTTCACACACTTTACCCATGTGGGGAATCAAACCCAGGTCTTCAGCGTGACGAGCGAACACTTTAGTCACAAGGGTACCCCACCATACTTGAAAAGGATGTTTACAAACACATTTTCTTTTACAATGTTTACCAAGGCTGAAATTATTGAGCATTAATTGGGCTGTTCCGACATGTGTTTCTGAAAAAAAAGATGTGATGACTTAGGGTGAAACAGCTAACGCATGCCAACCAACATTTACTGACATTTTGACTAAACTCTAAACAAAGTTTTACACTGACACGATGTTTTTCCCCATCTCAAAAAATCATTATCAGCTGATCACGTAACACCGCAAATACCAGTCAACAAATCCGAACTAAAGTGCACAATTTAAGCCCATTATTATACTATCAGGTTATAAAAATGTGATCATTATTTACCTGGACTTATGTTTATGATATATTTGATTAATTTTATTCACAATTTCATTACATTAAATTCTGTGAAATTGTGTGTGAAGTGATCGGTGGATCGCACAACTCACTTTTATTTACAGATCCACAGTCAGATTACTGCTACTGATGCCTTAAAACAAACTCTAGTTGCCAGAGAATGGATACACATATATATCATAAATGCCATACTTTGACTTGTTAAAAGTCATATTTGTGACAATTTCACAATTATATGTCAACATGAAGTTTTCTCAGTTGAAATACATCTCGCATTTACAGTCCCTACAATGACTGGTGAGATTGTTCCATATATAAATATATTCTACAATAGTAATCGGCTGTACCAAAGTGCTACGCGTATGGTTCTTACAATATTAAATATATATAGTAAAAGCTGCAACTGAAAGAACACGATCAGAGCTCCAGATAAGCATGATAAGCTGCATATCTGCATGAAATACGCATCAGAAATACAGAAATATGCAGTAAAATAAAATCCAAGCGTATCAAATACGCAACGAACATTACAGATATGCTACAAAAATAAAACTTGTGCGTATCATCAAAATATTGTGAAGTAACCCTGTGTATCAGCTGGTGTATTCGATTAGCAAATCAGCAACTTATTTTGAAATTATAAACGGGCATTCCGTCAACCTTGCCAAACTCCACGATGACAGTTACACCATGATCATTTGCCATCGCACTTTCTTGTGGAAGTATCGTGGTATTTTTGAGTCCTATAAAGCTCTCGAACCTACACGACACAAGTTTGCAGGGACTAGATGAAGAGTGTTTTTAAATATTTAACTAAAATACCCACATGTGTAAAAACTAGTGGGTAACAGAAATTTGAATACCCAGATAGAATTACTGATACCCAATGATTTTAAAATGCATAGGTAAAATACCCACAACACCAAAAGCTTATCTGGAGCTCTGATGATGTTGGAATATTTTATTCCCGATAAAACAGTGAACATGGTGAAGTCAGATACTATTTCTTCCGACATCAGCATCAAATTCTTTGAAGTTGCATTATTTCGTACTTTTTAACTGAATCACCAGTAGATTGGGAGAAAAGGTGCGTGCAGCTGATTGCTATTTCCGGCTTAGTTTACAAGAAAATACACATGGTAATCTTAATCTCTGCATGTAAAACAATGCCTTGGAGAGCAGGAAATACAATTTAAATGGTAAATCATCATGTCTAGTGATGTTTTATACATAATTTCATATATTTATTGTCCAAGTTTGCCATACCTGTTCTTTCACATGAATTCGCTAAAGGAATCCGATGTGTCTTTTTTCAAAGGGCATAACACTCGATAAATCTTTGTTTACACTATGAATCACAAACAACTACTATTCATATCCTTTTCTCAAACTCTGAAACGTACATTGTAGATCATGTGAGGTAAACAGAGCATGTACTCTTGTGTTGGTCATCTACGACCTACGACTCCACCTCGGTTAAGACACGACAGCAGGGAGACATTGTCTGTGCCCAGAGGGCATCACTGTCCCCTGACAATGTTGACAATTTAATTTTTCTGAAAAAAAAGAGCCCAAAGTTGAACTGTTCAGACTGTGAAGTACATTGATTATTTTCTGGTGTTTGAACTTTGAAGTTTTCTGGTGTTTTGTAACTTTGAAGGAAACTTAGAGAAAGTTCCACTCTGAAGCTAAACAACTTCAGGATTCATGTTACTATAAAAGAATTTTGAGTTTCCAAATCATGAAAGGTCCAATCTTGACATGCTTGAAGTCTTGAAACTTAACAAAAGCTGGAGCACTGTTATCTGTTTCTGTTTTTGTTGTTGTTGTATCATTGTGCAGTGACAATTTGAACCGTTGCCATACACATTGACAGCAATCAAATATACCAGTTCTGGTAAGTTTAAACCAGCCCTGTACAAAAAACATTTAACAACCCATTAAACCTTACTCTCATTATCATTTACAATCTAATCGAGAACATTGTCTACTTTGATATCACTGCCATTTTATATGTAGTGTTCCACTTTAAGGGGAATCCTGGGGTCATCTAGGTCCCATGTTTGCTGTCACGGTACTTGAATAATGGGTACTCAAAACATTCGTGTTATGAGAAGGACCCTTGATCATGTTGATGCATAAGTTTGACATTCATAAACATGTGCAGCATACAACTATACAAGTTGACCAATGACAAGTTTTGTTTGTTTGTTTGTTGTTTAACGCCACACTCAGCAATATTCCAGCTATATGAAGGCAGCTTGTAATTAATCGAGTCTTGACCAGACAGTCCATTGAATGACATCATGAGCATCGATCTACGCAAATGGGATACGATGACAAGCATCAACCAAGTCAGTAAGTCTGACCACCCGATCATGTTAGTCGCCTCTTATGACAAGCATGAAGACCTATTCTACCCCGGATCTTCATGGGTTTCTGTTTAATACATGTAAAAGCTCTTAATATAATATCATACAGTTTGGCCCTTACTCTATGAAGATTTTCACCCCAATGACCTCACAAAGTGACAGTCAATCATAAGGTATCGTCACATCCCAACCAATCCTGGATTAGGAAGTTAACTCAGTCCACTAGTACAATTCAGCAAGGACATTTTCTTGTGGACAACCATTTTCACTATTAGTGAGGTGGCGGTTTTGTACAAGATCTTTTTTGCAGACCAGTAAAAACAAAACTTTACTTCTAAGACTGTGGAATATTTGTGCCAGCATTGTTATGGGCTCCATTAGGAATGTATTTTTATATCGTAGATATATGTTTTATTTCTGGAAGTAAAGTTTAGTCTATACTCACCATAGTGTTCTCTCTTGTTGTCCCCCTCTCTCAGGTATTCACACTGGTAGTCCAGCAACAACGCATACCAATCCTCCTGCTCGCTCTCATCGTCCGCCATCACAGAAAAACAATCATCTTTGGTGTACAGGGCAATGGCATATTTATGCTTACTGTCATACTTCTTGTTGATGTTGAGAAGTGTGTGCAGTTGTATGGAGCGCTTTGGAAGTTGACCATTGCGGAACTTTTTCTCAGAATCATAATATTCCAGCCTAGCTGGACCACTGCTACTAGTTGACCTCAACACAAAAAATTTCTTTTTGTTTGTCTGGAAGAAAAAATGTAAACAGATTAAGGTAATGGATATGCAGGATGAAATAATCAGTAAAGACAAGATATTTAGAAAAGACAAGAAAACCAAATGTAGTATGTTGTAGGCAGCAAAACTACAGGTATCTGAGAGACGAAAATGATATTTTGGTTGGTTGGTTTGTTGTTTAACGCCGCACGCAGCAATATTCCAGCTATATGATGGCGGTCTGTAGATAATCGAGTCTGGACCAGATAATTCTGTAATTGACATCATGAGCATCAATCCACGCAATTGGGTTTCACCACCCGATCCCGTTAGTCGCCTCTTACGACAAGCATAGTTGCCTTTTACAGCAGGCTTGGGTTGCTAAAGACCAATTCTACCCCGGATCTTCACAGGTCTATGATATGTTTGGATCTCCTTTTTTAAAATGCTGGATCCGCCCTTGACCAGTAAAGACAAGAAAACCAGTAAAGACAAGATAATCTGTTGACAGAGTCGGGGTTCGCACTAAGAGCACCAATATGGTTCTGACAAACCCTGAAACACAATCAGGGTGGACTGAGAATCGAAACCAAAATAATAGCTTTCTGGCATATCTAATAGATGAACCTATGTGGAACATTTCAGTGCCTTGGATGACATATGCCTTGATCATGAGGATAGCAAAGCTCTCACAAAAGTTTGATCAAATTGATTTGATATTTTTAGGAATAACAAAGATCGACTCTTAAAATCTCTGCCTTAGAAATTATTTTTTTTAAGACAATCCAGAGGACTAGTGGAAACCTAATTCCAGAAGTCATAAGAGTGTGAAGCTAGTCCTGCTTGAACGAGACAACAACATTCTCTGTGTTTACATATTCTTTCAGTCTTATCCAGTTCGAGCTTGCAGCAAAATTGAAGCATTGAGAACTGGTATATAACCCTCAAATGCTACTAGTCAATGAGAACTACCATTATTGGTTTTTTTCCAGTCTTCAGCACAATTTATCACATTCATACTAATCAGTATCATGTTCTCAAATCAAGTCACAAATGTCTGTGTATAAAATAAACTGTTTCAAAATGTAAAAGAGCCTGGATTTCGGAAAAAACATATTACGTTCCATTATATATGCATATGTCACCCTTTACCACATATTTCCGAAACCCATCGTTTTGACCATGTTGACTGGAAATGGGCAGCTTGACCCAGTCACATCAGTCTGAATCTCTTCAAACGCATCCATGTACACAGGCATTGACATACTACACTGTGCCCAAGCCATTAAAACATTTAGGCAACTTGTTCAGTTAAAATAAGATCAATCTTCAGAAATACTGATCGTTTACCCTGTCTTGGCGTCTACTGTCTAGACATTGATTAAATCAATTTATCAGAACAGCACTAACTAGATTGCCTTGTTTTGAAGTCACTTTTCATCGTAGGTTAAAGCTTCTTCCGTACCTCTGCCCTTGGCGTACACATGTAAGAGCTAAACTCAATCAACAGATCAAGTTATTTCTCACAAACATAGTGGCATTTTGTTATTTCAGCCAAGTGGGTCATCAGAGGTTGTTACTAGTGGTGGGACTATACATCAATGCATCGTTGGATTGCGGTTTTTTACTTCTTGATACAAGTATTGATCACAGTTGCACACTAAGTAAAAAATTTTGATTCTGAACTGAAATGTTTGCTTTTATAACTGTTCCATTAAACACTAATCAGTAGTGCCAGTTAAAAAGCAAAAACAAATATTTTCATCCATTGCGCCATACTTGACACTGCCAACTGTAAATCATCAGTGTGCCAGGTATATTTGGCCATCCTGTCTATAAAAAAGATGGCTTACGCGCCACATATAAGAGCACTTGCAAGTATTGTGATACATATTGGATTATGAGTAAGGTATCTTGATCATGTTGATACGTATCGGATCGCACAGTTGGTGTATCATCCCAGCTCTAGGTGTTACTGTACTTGTTGTCCTTTAAGCATGTTGATGATGATGATGCCTTGAACTAATAAAGAACTACATAAGCTTGCATTTATCACAGACGTTACAGTCCCAAAAGCCTTGTTGGTTTAGTTTCTTGAGGAGCAAATTATCTTAAAATCCACAATTGCTACCAGTGGCACCAATACTGAATTTCTGGTTTTGATGCCCTAAAATTTAACCCCTTCATTGTTCTGGGATTTAGTCTGATTTGGATACATTCATGTAACCATGGTAACCTGTTACCCATGAAAACAAATGTGCCTGTCTTTAGAAATACCATTAATATAGGCCCACTAGACATGATAGATGTCTACTGTCTGAAAAAGCATAAGTCTAAGGTCAAGTGTTACATTAGAAAACCACGGTGAGTGACCAGGGCGCCGTTTCACAAAGCGATTTGAGCGCTAAGGTGATCGTAACTCCCATACTTTAACATTGACTTATGACAATCGTAGCATTACGATCGCTTTGTGGAACGGACTCCAGGCCCCTGAAAATCTGAAGCACTGTTTTACGTCAGTGCCTAGGGTCAGGACCATGAACCAAAGCTGGGGATCAAGAGGCAAAAGTGGATAAAAATAATGCTAACTCCCTTACGTAGATGCTCAAAAGGTCCACAGACAGAGAAAGAGGTTTTGGAAAATCATCACTGACATGGGCATGTTGAAACAAATTAGCTCAGACTACAAATTGACCTGAGTCTTATTTCCCTGTAATATGCTTAATATGCTAAAGGAAAACAACAAAATCACTTTGCTGCACATTCTGTTTGGAGGTATTAGATATAGGCAGAAACAGCAGACTTGAAGTAGGCCATGATTACTCACTCGTCCAAAGTCCCAGTCTAGTAAATTTCTGAACAGCCTTGTACATGATATCTAGTAAGATCATCTAAAAATAACAGTAAAAGCTACTGAAACTATGCTGAGACCATGTTCAGGCTTGTAAAAGGCAGTTACTCCAAATAATATGTACAACCATATTTCAGCTGATACTGTTAATTTGAAACATCAGTGCTAGAGAGTCCACGGTTTGTGCCAAAACATTTCAGTCTACTAGTCCAAATCTTATACTTGAGATAATTTTCAGTAGATTTTAGTGTTATTGTATAGACTCTTATTAACAAAACGTACCAGGCTGAAAGAATTTTACTAGACTTGGTCTTTGGAATAGTGGATAAAATCACAGGCTATAATTATTCTCGATTATCACCGGATTGTGCATAAACGAGGAAATAGTTATGAAAAGTATATGAATGGATCACTGAAAATCATTGACGACACCAGATGCCAGCAATCAAAGTTCATACAGATATGGAACACTAAAATTCATGGCCTTTCCAAGGCTTTTCAAGGCTACCAACTGTCATTTTCAAGGCTGCCTTAGTTTGGTTCTTAGTCTGTCTATATTTTATTAAATCCAGCATGCCACACTATGCATGTCCTGCTCTAATGGTAGCAAATGCCACTCACACAAGTTACATAAAACAGCGAGTGTCTGTTGCCTAACTTTGCACCAGCTATTCTCCTGCCTCACAACAGCATCCTGTAAACAATCAAGTCCACACAATCCAGTTATAGCTGGTCTGGACCAGATAATTCAGTGACATGACAGCATGTTTACCGATTTTGTTGAAACAAAAACAATGTTTGAAACGCCTCACAACCTACATGACATAGTGAGTCATGACCATGATTAATCTGCCATACTGTTTCTGTTATACTATAATTCATAGATCACAGGTTTGTTTGTTTGTTTCTTGTTTAACGCTGCACTCAGCAATATTCCAGCTTTATGACGGTGGTCCGTAAATAATCAAGTTTGGACCAGACAATCCAGTCATCGATGTCATGAGCATTGTTTCACGCAATTGGGATATGGTGACATGTATCAACCAATTCAGAGAGCCTAACCACCTGATCCCGTTAGTCGCCTCTTACAACAAGCACAGTTGCCTGTTACTGCAAGCATGGGTTGCTGTAGACCTATTCTAACCCGGAACTTCACGGGGCTAGATCACAGGTATATAATCGTAATAAGGGTATTTTGTGATATAAAAGATCGCTCCGTAATATAAGAAGCAAGGTTTATTTAACATTGTTTTATCATTCAAACGTACCCTCGCAACTTGATGACATCATTAACTGGACGCTCTTTTTAGCGGGAAGTGGCAAGTGAGTGAGTTAAAAAAAATTAACATAGCATCAGCATTATTTCAGCCATATAGCGACAAGACCAAGTTAATATATTCCCAATTTAGTTATTTACGCAAAGTTATATTTAAAAACAATTTATGAAATATATTTGAGCCTACTATATTTAAAAACGATTTATGAGAAGTGTCAAGTGAGTTCCCCATAGATGTAGGTGGGCAATGCAGATAAACGCAGTGGCCGAACGATCGTGTCTAAAAGTGGGACAGGTATGACAATTGGTATTGGAAGAAAAGGTATGGATAATCAACATGAAAATTGTGAGAATATTAGGGAAATACCAAACTTAACCCCTCTGGTCATAAAATAGAGTTGTCCGACATTGCCCAGGTTGGATTGTATTTAACGAGTGATCAGACCACATTAACAGTTCATTACAAGGGTCAGGGTCAGCGCTACCTCACTGCCTCTTATAAAACAAAATGCTAAATTGCATAATACTATTAGAATGAGCCTAAATTAACCAATCATGCAAGTTAACACATACCGTATTCGACGTAATAAGCGCCCCGCTCTAATAAGTGCCCACGGCGACATTTGCAAAGATATTGGCTAGTGAACAATCCCGATTAGCACCCCTTTCCATTGATCAATGTACATAAGACTTTTTTATTTGCGTATAATATCCACTCGTGTGTTATATGCACCCTTAAAAAGGGCAATTAAATTCTAGAAAAAAACAGTATCTGTCGTACATAAACATTTCAGGTTGTCAGCATAAACCATGAAATTTATCTTTTAACTCTTATGAGAGACCCTTATTTCTTTTTTTGAGAGCGCCCTGGGCGCTTATTACGTCAAATACGGTACTAGTTAA